TAGGCTAAACAATATAAACGAGAGCGCAGATTTACTTTGCTCTGCTTTAAGCTTTAGCCATAGCCGCTTTCCTCCCAAGTTTTGAAGAAAACTTTTCTTCAGAAGTAGATCAGTATCTTGTAAAATGTCTCTCAGCGTTCTGCTGTTTTATGAGGCTGTAGACGCTTCTCATTCTCCAGCTTCTTGTTTGAATTTTCCTGTTCCACCTTAAATTCTGACCGAGGCACCGAATGTAAATGTGGCACCATTTAAGGTGGAACGGGAAAATTTGAAAGAGAAGCGACTTCAGCTTCGCAACTGTTTAGAGCTAGTGTCTCTCGTTGCAGATTTAACGTACCAGGAAACCAACTGCGCTGCTTATAAATGAGAATAATGCATCATTGCTATGTGACCTGCAGTCTGCATGCCAATTCTCAGTCGTTACGAAACAGGGCTTTTGCGCTATGTTGCACACGCCCCGTCTCGAAGACACTTTACTGACACAGCGACCCCAAAGAGAGCAAAACCAAAGTTATAAAATCACTAAAGAAAATGGGTATGACAGCTGTAACGTGCTGTGTGGTCATCCATTACCACTGGATCTTATTTCACCGTAACTGCGCATTTTATCGCAGATGAGTGGCAGCAGCGTCTCCAAACAAGAGCAGTGAATGAGAGCCTTCCAGTTCACTTGCCACATCACTTCCATTTGTTTTATTAATTAAAGATATTGGAAGTAAATTCACTATGGATCATTACAAATACTTTGGTTTAAAAGTACCTCACACAGTGAGAAAATAGAGATGCATCGATAATCGTTTTATAATCGCATCGCAGCCTCTGAATCGTCATCGAATCGAATCGTGAGGTGCCTAGAGATTCCTACCCCTAGAAACTACACAGGAAAAACAATACATCCTCTACAACTCGTACAAAGTGCAGCAGGGCAGATCTTTACAAAAACAAAAGGAGAGCTTATGTAAACCAAGTTTTGAAAGCACTCCACTTTCTAAAGTTATTCTGAAGCTATTTTACTAGTTTTTAAAGCTCTAAATGGCCTTAAACACCTGAGTACCTGTGTATTGTCTGATTACATTCCAACATGTGATCGTAGATTTGCCTTCTGCACATACCTTGTGTAAAATACAGAAAATGTGGAGAGACTCTTTCTGACATTCTGCTCCTAAACTTTAGAACTCAGCTCCACCTTTTGTTAGACAGTCAAGCTCAGTACACTCTTCTAAAGGGAACATGTTTTGCTTTTCAGGTTTTTGTCTTTCCTTTAGAAGCCTTGCTGGAATTCCAGCCCTTATCTCTGTTATAAGGTGGCGTCATCTCAACACAATCCTTATTGCCCACCTACCAGCAAACTTGGCACACCCTCACACTACTCACAGAGAGCTAAAAAAGTAAATGCTTCCCACTCTGAAACGTCCTGCTCCAGTTAGTCTTGCGAAGGTAGATTGGTTCCAGTTCCGGTGTGCGCTGTAGAAAGGTCGCAATGGTGAGAGCTTCGGGTAAATTCTACAGTTTTTTGTGTTTTGTTGTCTTATTTCTTAGTGTTTTGGCACACACCACATTTGGGATCATTCAATATGACCGATAAACCCTGGCGGAGCAGGAAGAAGCGCAAGAGGGGCAGATGCGCAAGGATATTATGCAAGACTAGGAAACGGTGCTTCAACCCTCTGCTTCCTTCTGCTCGCAAATGTTCAATCACTGGAGAACAAAATCGACAAGCTGAACATGGATCAAATTTCAGCGTGACATCGAGAGCTGCTACGTTTTACTGTTCACAGAGACGTGGCTCTCCGCAGCAATACCAAACAAAGGCATCACACCGGCCGGCTTCTCCATCTACCGTCAGGACAGAACTCTGGACCCAGATAAGGGCAGAGGCGGCGGGGTGTGTGTTATGGTGAACTTTCGATGGGGAACAGATGTAGCGGTTCTAGCCAGTCACTGCCCTTCAGACATTGAACTCATTACAGTCAAAGTTTGACCTTTTTTTCTGCCCAGAAACCAAAGCTCAGCCATCCTCACTATGGTCTACATCCCTTCTCAGGCAGATAAGTCACGTGCATTGGAAGTTTTGTACGGTACCATTAGTGGGCTTGAGAACATTCACCCTGAGGCTGATTTTATTAACAGGGCAAACTTGAAGGTTCTGCCCAAATACTATCAGCACATTAAATTCCCCACCTGAGGAGAAGAGACTATTGACCACTACTACACTGCACTCAAGAACAGCTACAAACCTGCCTTTGGCAAAGCTGATCACACCTCCATTCTTCTCCTGCTCGCATACAAACACTTAAACAGGTGAAACCAGTTCTCAGATCAGTCTATCAGTGGAGTGAGGAGGCCATCTTCACACTTTAGGACTGCTTTGAATCAACGGACTAAAAGATGTTTCATGAAGCAGCTGGGCACTGACATCAATGAATACACTGACTCCATCACAATCTACATCAAAAAATGCACTGATGGCATTGTTTCAAACAAAAAGTGTCAGAACATTTCCCAACCAGAAACCCTGGATCAATGCTGAGGTTCGAGCCAAACTAAGAGCTTGAGCCACTGCCTACAACTGGTGAATTGGCTAGCTACAAGAAGGCCAGACATGACCTTCAGGCTGGCCAAAAGGAACTACAGGGACAATCTAACTACCTCAGCTCTGATGTCAGACGTATGTGGAGTGGACTATGCACTATCACTGACTACAAAGGAGGTGTGATCTGTGATCAGGGCTTGTCCTCCTCACTTGCAGATTAGCTAAATGCACATTATACTTGTTTTAAGGCAAATAATACCTCCCCTGCTGAAAAACTCCCAGTAGATCAGAAACCTCTCTATAACCTCTCCTTAAGACTGTCAGTGGTTCCCACGTGCTTTAAAGGAAACCATAATTGTTCCAGTCCCCAAGAAACTGGCTATCACCTGCCTGAATGACTACCGCCCTGTTGCACTGACATCAACAGTCATGAAGTGCCTCGAGCAGCTGGTCAAAGCTCACATCTACTCAACACTTCGAGCCACCATGGACCCTCACCAATTTGCATACCGCTCCAACAGATCCACAGACAACGCCATTGCACTAACAATACACACTGCTCTCACACACCTGGACAGAAAGAACACATATGAAGTGGAGAGAGTCAGCAGTGTGAAGTTTCTCAGCGTACACCTCACTGATGACCTCACCTGGTCCCTCCACACCAGCACTATTGTGAGATCTGCCCGTCAGCATCTCTTCTTCCTGAGTAGGCTCAGCAAGTTTGGTCTGCCTGCTCAGATCTTCACCAACTTCTACAGATGCATCATAGAGAGCTTCCTCACGGGCTGCATCACTGTCTGGTACAGCAGCTGCACCGCCTGCGACCGCAAGGCCCTTAAAGGAGTAGTGAGGACAGCAGAAGCCATCATAGGCAACAGACTACCAGCCTTACAGGACATCTACCAGTCCCGCTGCCTCAGGAAGAGCAAAAAGATCCGGTCAGACAGCGTCACCCAGCACACGGCCTGTTCACCATCCTGCCATCAGGCAGGAGATTCCACAGCATACAGGCCAGAACAACCCAGTTAATGAACAGTTTCTACCCACAGGCTGTCAGGCTTCTGAACAAGCTGTGAAGCTGTGGGTCCTTCGCCAACTACCTTTTCGCTCTGTCATTTTGATAGTATTATTTATTATATCATATCTCTGCTACAGACAATAAAACTATGCTACTTTAAAATGTATATATAGTTCTCAGATTATCCCTTGTTTTATATTTGTATACAGCAGAGAGTTTTTCTTACATGGGTCCCTCCTGTCTCTGTATTTTGTGTAAATTTCAGTTTTAGCATTTTCTTTTTGTATTTTTACTTTGTTTTGTCTGCACTGTTTTTAGTGTGTATATAATGCTGCCCTGCTGTAGAGTGATTACCTGAGCCTCACCACAAGCATTTCAATGCATGAATGTCCTGACATGCTGTGCAAATGACAAACTTGAAACTTGAACTCTGCCAACTTTTTCTACCTGACTTTGAGGATCAGCTCTAACTGATACGGCAGAACCGACACCATTGTAAGAACAGCCACAGCGGAGTGAGGGTGGAACTAGTCACAGGATGCTGCTCTGGCAGTTGATCAGTCAGAACCGAGTGGGCAAGTTGACCAATCAGAGCACAGTAGACTTATAGGGAGGCAGGACTTAAAGACACAGGAGCTCAAACAGAGCATAAAATTGCTTGCCCTTTCACAAAACACAAAACAACACTCTGTGGTTGGTTTTTGTTGCATGTCAGTGAAATCACCCTTTCCTATCAAAGAAGGCAGTTCTTGGACATGTTCAGATATGAAATGTACCAGACTCTCCAAAGATGGTTAAGGGTCTGGCTTTTTGAGATTAGGACTTTATTAACCCCTAAACCTCAGTGATGCAGCAATACTGTCCATTCCTTCAGATCATTCCTTCTGAGCTCTTCCAGATACATGTAGAAAGTTTAAAAGAGTTTCTCAGTTTAAAAGCCTGAACTGGATTGCTGTTGATGACTTGCCTGTAATGAAGACACGTACTTTGCACATTGTAAGGTTTACAGGTATGACTGTGTGTGTATGTGTGTGCATGAGTGAGTGATGGTAGGAATGCATGTTTTATGTTATATTTTATATTATTTTATTTTATTTATTTTATTTACTACATGTAAATGTCTGTCAGATACTGTGCACTGTGAGGTCATGTAACCAAAACCAAATTTCTTGTATGTGTAAGCAAACCTGGTCAATATAGCTTGATTCCGATTCTGATGAACCTGTCTGAGAGAATATTGAAAGTGTGTGTCAAGGCAGAGTATCCACACACTCTCTAAGATCGGCTTATCAGACAATTATGTAAACAGGTGTTTTTTTGAGAGTTTGAGGAACATAAGTGAGTATCTACATGTACAGTCTGCCTTTTAAAACAACTGTGAAGGTCCACTTTATAAAAGTGAAAGGATGAAACACGTGCTAAAGTCTGTGTAACCATGTCTTCCAGGAATGAAGTTTCTTTGTGTGGGAATACTGATTTTCTCTGGCTTTATGGAGACCATGTCAGGTAAGTATGTGTGTGTGTGAGAGAGAGAGAGTGAGAGACCCAGAGGAGACAGATAGAGACAGAGACACATGGAGAATCAGACTAAGAGAAGTGATAAAGTTAACTTTATGTACAATAATCATAAAAATATTACTAACATGCTGAGTTCACTGTGTAGTCTCTTTTCCATATGCATTGTAAGGAGGGGTGGGTTGATGGATATGCAATCACTGTATGACTTTCAACACAATATAGTTACAAAACTGTATGATAATAAAAAAATATTAATTATTTATAACTTAAATTCATCCATGATTCCTGCCTTTTATGCATGGGTAAGTACATAAGAGAAAATAAAAGCTCACGTATAATTGACAACATTTATGTCACTTTAATAAAGGTGGAAAGTATAATATAGAATTGATATTTTTTGTATGGTTAAAGCCCCCCCCCACAGCGTATGTCATTTGAAAAAAACTTGATGCAGGTGAACATATAATGCAATTAGGTGCACAACTCTTCATATTTTTACCTAAGCTGTACTTCTGTAATCCATCTGTAACAGTGAATATACATCACAATTAGTTACACGGGGCCACTTTTCTCATTATTTCATGATAAACTAAGGAGATAAAAGTTATGGAGTTGCTTCAGACTTGGTAGCTGTTCATGAGAGCTCTCAATATGCAGTCCAAAGAGGTGTTGATGCAAGTGAAGGGGGCCATCATTATGCTGAAAAAAATAAAACAAACTTATCAAAGAGAGAGGAGGATTTTTAGGAGTGGCCAATTTGGTACATTCTTATAAAGAAGGAATGCACTGGCAAGCTCAGCAACACCAAAAGGCCTGGAAGACCATGGAATACAGCTTCACAACATCTAGTCAAGTCAGGGACATTCTAGAGGATGTTGGCATATCATTGTCAAAGTCTACAATTAAGAGACGCCTTCATGTATGTAAATACAGAGAGTTTACCTCAAGATGCAAACCACTGATAACACTCAAGAACTGAAAGGCTAGAAAACATCTAAAAAAGCCTACTCAGTTCTGGAACAAGATTCTTTGGACAGATGAAACCAAGATGAACTTGTTCCAGAATGATGATAAAGGAAGAGTATGATCTGAAGCATACCACATCATCTGTGAAACCTGGTGTAGGTAGTGTTCTGGCAGGAGCATGTATGGCTGCCAATGGAACTGGGTCACCAGTGTTTACTGATGATCAGATTGCTGATAGAAGTAGGAGGATGAATTCTGAAGTGTATAGATAGCTTCTGCTCAGATTCAGTCAATTGTTGCAAAACTGAGAGGATGGTGCTTCACAGTACAGATGGGTAATGACCCAAAACACACTGTGAAAGAAATCCAAGAGCTTCAGAAGGCAGAGAAATGTAATGTTTAAAATGGTGTCAGTCACCTGATCTCAACCCAACTGAGCATGCTTTTCACTTACTGAAGAAAAAAATGAAGGCAAAAGACCCACAAGAAAGAAGCAACTGAAGGTGACTGCATTAAAGACCTGGCAAAGCATCTCAAGGGAGGAAACTCAGCGTTTGGTGACATCCATGGATTCCAGACTTCAGGCAGTCACTGACTGCAAAGATTGTAAAAATAATCCTTGTATTTATAATTATATTAGCTTCTCTAATTACTTTTGAGCCCGGTTGTAATATGGTTGTAATACCTAAAGAGTGCAATATTCTTGCTAAACCCCTAAAAGCTGACAGTCTACACTTCAATAATATTTTGACTGCTGATATCCATTGTGGTGGTGTACAGAGGCAATCGTAAAAATTGTGTCACTGTCCACATACTTATGGACCTGACTTTATGTATTGTTTTATCTTTGTCTGGTCACATTCTGAACAAATAAGTCATGAGAGTCAGTGTGTTGACTACAACATGAAGCAGAGCAAAATCAGCATTATATGACCTTGAACAAATTGCTGTCTTAAAGTGGCAAAAACTTCACATTATTGCAAAATACCATTGATGTGTTCAGTCAGATTTGTGTATTGTGTATGTTATTATGGCTTTGAACAGTGTGCCTCAGCCACACTTTAAAATCGAACATGCCTCAGCCACACTTTAAAATCAATTTCCATTCTATAATTGCTGATTTAGACATCAGATGGTAAAAAAATTAATGTCTAACAGGGTATTCTAATGGCAGAGATAAAGGATTAACAATGTAAAACCATAACCAAAATTATATAAACAGAAAACTATGCACTGTTATATGACAAGTCCAGATATCATGACCAAAGTTTAGGAAATTGTTTTATTTACGTACAAGTACACTTGGTTGGGCAGAAGAGAACCTGCTATGCTTAGCTCTCCTCTTGTTTTCTCCCTCTCTCCTCCAGTCCTAAAGTTTAATGTCCAGTCATCTCTTTTCCTCTCCCCTGCCATCCAGTCATCTCCTATTTCCTTTCTGTTCCTCTTGTTCATGGTAACTCACTGTGAATGAAAGCAGAATAACAAAAAAATAAAACTGCGCTTTAATCAAACACTAATAATGCTATTTATCATGAGCAAGTACAGCTGTGCGAGTATTATAGAAACATGTAATAAATAAACGCTACTACCGTCTACGTTACACATGCACCGTTACAATGATTACCACTTTTTCAGAGACTTCATGTTGGATTTCTAACACGTATAACATAAAGACATTGATGTCAGTTGAATACAAAAATTACCACTGTTGGTCGCTGCGTGAATGTGTGGCTAATTAGCTTTCTGGCTAACTTAGTTATGATAGCTAATGTAATGGACTTCTTATTGATTAGCACTCACAAATTTTCACCAAAATGGTTTTCACTTCATACAACTACTGACAATTTTTAGAACAAATATTGTTTAGTACTGCATTTACAGTTCCAGTGCAAAATGATGTATTAACATCAACATTACCTTTTCATGAAAGTCAGAGACGTTATAAAGACTTTGCTGAAGTACAGTGCTGGTATGGTGGTACAGTGTAACAATAATAAGTGTCCCATCAACTGATGGTTACGCTGACGGATCCTAACATTATGCCAAGCTAGTGAGTGGAATATTATTATTTATATTTGTAACACCCTCTACTCCTGATCTCTGCACTGGGGTTAAGGTGAGTTCTTTGATTTCTAAATAATATTTAACTAAAAAGCTTTGTAGGCCACATAGGGTTTTACTCACTCTGCTCTGCTTATATTAAAACGCTTCTTGCCGCAGCACTTTTTTTTAAAACATTGAGTCGCTTTAGCAGAAAATATGAACCTATATCATCTAGAAGATGAACATTAGAATCCTTCATTTCTTCAAGTATGTAGTTGGTTTCAGCGTTGCTCCAAAAGTGTTTTGTTGGTGCTGTGGATGCTGTGTTAAATGTTTTTACGCATGCACAGAATGAGGACTCTGAATGAAATCCAAGAAAAAGTACACATGCACTGTGAAATCCAATCACTGTGTGAAAATCCAGCTATCAGATTTCTAGATCTTACTCCAGTCTAAGAAATCATAGTGTGCTGTTCACATGACCGCTTAATTAATCAGATAGCTGCAGAAATCTGATTATTAAGTGCCTATGTGTGCACTCTGTGACTATAATATGACAACTCCAACTAATGTCTTGTGAAACTTCGGTATTAAAATAATAAGTACCCACTCTGAACCTTGCAGCACTTTAAAATTTGACACAAACAAACAACAAACAAATAAAAAAAATAAAAATTTTAATATTATTATTTTTATAACTATTTTTATATTATTTTAATAGTAATTACAAAATTATTTACCTGTTTAATAGAAGTTCAATATAATGTACAGGTGCTTATAACGTACAACCAAGTCATCAAATTTAGTTAAACTAGGCTTCCTCTACATCACCCTGTTCCCTTATAGAAAACAAAAATACAGAGCAAATGAAAACTTTTATAAATATAAAACTAACTACATTTAAAGAGTACAGAAATATATATTCCACTCTGAGATGCTGTGGGTCCACACACTTATACTCTCAAATATTTAGCCAGAAAATCAGAGAATGAAGGAAGGGGGACAATAAATTGGGTACCCTTTTGTTTTGTTCTCTCTTTTTTTCCTTGTGGCCCTGACGTGGCACTGGTAATCAGATTGGCCTGAAACTGATCTGAGATCTGAGCGTTCCTGGTAGCTCAGACAACTATCTGGGTGATGGTCAAGGTGAATGTCAGCTTTCAGAACAGTCCTCAGTCCGCTGTGTAAACTCCATCTTAACTCTGTGGGTGGACTGGCTTTGTCTGAATTGATTAACCCATGTGGCTAACTGACAGTTCTTGGATTAGACAAATTAATTTCTTTGAGTTGAAGTTTTTCTTGTTTCTACCTCTTCTGCCTTGTTAGTAGCTTGTAAAGATTCTCAGTTTGAAAACATAAAACCACAGAAAAGACAGTAATAAAACTACAGTGTGTTTCATGTTATAAAATTACATACAAAGCTTATTAATCATCTCTCACCCCCGTCTTACTCACAGCTATTCCCCCCTTCATGTCATTCCCTCTCCTCTGCTGATTGGAAGTTAAGGAACAGATGAGTCAGAAACTAAATACAAAAACTTTTTTTTTACAAAGAAAAACAGCATTGAAACACTGAACATCAACACATTTCTTGGAGAATAACACACAGTTTTATAGCATTAGAAAAGTTGTGGGGAGCATATAAAAAAGAAATTAAATATGAATTTCCCAAGGGGTACATGTAGTTTATATCAGTATACTGGGGAGGGACATTTTGAGCACACTGAAAGTGAGAAGAGTCATCATTTGTCTGCAGTCTTAGGGTTATTATCCATCTTGAGTTAATTAAACTGACCAAACTTTTACCACAGACGTGATCATGTGATACCAAAATATTCATGTGACATGCAGTTGGAAGATGATAAAATAAGTGTAATGGGTAATATTTACAAAATATACAGTTTGTCCTAACTTTTAACAGAATAATAATTTTGTGTCATAGTGGTAATTGTGAAAAGAAAAATGAGTTTTGTTACATTAGTAACATAATGAAAGCTGGATATCCATGTCTTCAATCTTTTAGAATTGTTACACCGCAAATATATACTATATACTATATAATTTATGATATACATAATTATCATGAGTACTAGATGTCTTGATCTTGACTCGGACTTGATGTGACTTGGCTCCAGTGGTCCTAACACGCTACTGCAATAGAAGTAGCCCAATTAATTGAGAATGCAAATACAAATATGTCAAAGTTAATTGAATTTGAACTCGACGTGAAATTTTGCTCATAAAATTATTCACCCTGGAAGTCAGTGATGCCCTCAACACTGTGAATATTATTGAAAATGTAATTTTCAGGAAAATTAGCAAGCAAATGCAAGTGTGACTGGACCTAATGTGAAGCCTTGTGTTAGTGATATAAACATGTAAGTGCATAATTATTTTATTATATGCATTTGTTTGCTCGTTGCAGAAAACTTTAAGGTAGTTGGCCCAGCTGCTCCTCTTGTTGCTGAAGCTGGTGAAGATCTGGTTTTGCCCTGTTCTCTCCAACCCAACATCAGTGCTGAGGATATGATGGTTGAGTGGATCAGAGCAGATCTGACTGATACTGTCAATCTAGTGCATCTCTATGAAGATCATGCAGACAGATATTATGACCAGATTAAGTCTTATAGAGGAAGAACAGCTTTATTTAAAGAAGAACTGCAGAAGGGCAACACCTCATTGAAACTCTCAGTGGTGCAGACGTCTGATGAGGGAGTTTACAAGTGTTTAGTAAAATCAGCATCCTGGTATGATGACACCACTGTTGATCTTGTTCAGGTTAAAGGTAAGGGCAATGGCATTTTTAATAATTCAATAAACAAAAAGAGTTATCTAGTATCATTAATTTTCTTTACCATTAGGTCAATTTAGTGCAATGTGGCTTTTTTATTTGTATACAACAGGAAAGAGAAAAAGTCAAAATTAGTTTTGTTTTATTTTCTGGTATCTATGAACAATTAGGCTGGTTGTTTAATTAATTTGCACACAACTATAGTGGATATAAAAAGTTTGCACACCCTTGTTAAAATGCCAGGTTTTTGTCATGTAAAAAAAATCAGACCAAGATGAATGATTTCAGATTTATTTCCACCTTCAATGTGACCCATAATCTGCACAATTCCAAAACAAACTGAAATCATTTAGAGGTGGAAAATAAAAATAACAAAACTAAAATAATGTGGTTGCATAAGGGTGAACACCCTCTTATAATTGGGGATGTGGTTGTGTTCAGAATTAGCCAATGACATTTAAACTCGTGTTAAATAGTAGTCAGTACACAGCTGCCATCATTTAAAGTGATTCTGATTAACCCCATATAAAGTTCAGCTGTTCTAGTAGGATTTTCCTGACATTTTCTTAGTTGTATTTTACACCAAAAGCTGTGGTCCGCAAAGAGCTTACAACACATCAAAGGGACGTGATTGTTGAAAGGTATCAGTCAGGAGGAGGGTACAACATTAGATATACCATGGAACACAGTGAAGATGGTCATCAAGAAGTGGATTAAATTTGGTACAACAGCAACATTACCAAGAACTGGACGTCCCTCAAAAATTGATGAAACAAGAAAAAAATAGGTCCAGGAGGCTGCCAAGAGGCCTACAGCAACATTAAAGGAGCTGCATGAATTTCTGGCAGGTCCTGGTTGTGCAGTGCATGTGACAACAATCTCCCATATTCTTCATACGTCTGGGCTGTGGGGTCGGGAGGCAGGATGGAAGCGTCTTCTAACAAAGAAAAACATCCCAGCCTGGCTATGTTTTGCCAAAACCTACATGAAGTCTGCCAAAAGTATGTGGGAAAACATGTTATGGTCTGATGAGACCAAGGTTGTTGAACTTTTTGGCAATAATTGCAAAAGGTATGTTTGGCACAAAGCCAACACTGTGCATCACCAAAAGAACACCATACCCACGGTGAAGCACGGTGGAGGCTGCATTATGCTTTGGGACTGTTTTTCTGCAGCTGGAATTGGGGCTTTAGTCAAGGTGGAGGGAATTATTTTCCAAATATCAGTTAATTTTGGCACAAAACCCTCAGGCCTCTGCTAAAAAGCTGAAGATGAAGAGGAGTTTTACCTTTCAGTACAACAATGACGCAAAGCAAACCTCCAAATCAACAAAACAATGGCTTCACCAGAAGAAGATCAAAGTTTTGGAATGGCCCAGCCAGAGCCCAGACCTGAATCCGTGGGTAGACCTGAAGAGGGCTGTACACAGGAGATCTGAGAGCTGCTGTACTCGCAATCTGAATTGGAGCGGATTTGGAGATTTGGAGCACTTTTGCAAGGAAGAGTGGGCAAAGATTGCTAAGTTGAGATGTGCCATGCTGATAGACTTCTACCCAGAAAGACTGAATGCGGTCATAAAGTCAAAGGGTACTACAACAAAGTATTAGTTTAAGGGTGTGCATATTTATGCAATCACACTATTTTAGTTCTTCATTTTTATTTTCCCCTCAGTTTGTTTTTCAGTGGAACTGTACAGATTATGGGTCACATTGGAGGTGGGAATAAATCTGAAATGATTCACCTTGGTCTGATTTTTTGCATGACAAAAACCTGGCATTTTATCAGGGGTGTGTAGATTTTTTATATCCACTGTACACTGGTAACCAAAGTCTGTCCCTCTGGAATATTAGACTCATCTTTAAAATAATGAATTGTGCAAATTTTTAGCTTGATTTACAAAAACACTTGTATAAATGTTTACTAACAGAATTCAGTAACTGCACTAGCTTCAAATTCACTTATGTTATAATCAATATCTGTCCTGTATATGGAAACTGACCTTATAATACAGATAGCAGACAGAGATTAGTTTAACAAAGATTTAGAGCATTCTTTAAAATTGGTACTCTTGCTGTTTGCAGCAGGTGGTCTTCATGAATCAGGAAAGATGGTGTGCAACGGAGGGGATTTGTGCTACATTGAAAGTTGTTTTTTATAAAAAATAATGGGGAAAAACTGTGCAAAATTAAATACTTTCTTGACTTACAGTTTTTCTTTTTATTTTAGTACGTTTACAAGTAGTTGGCCCAGCTGAGCCTCTTGTTGTTGAAGCTGGTGAAGATCTGGTTCTGCCCTGTTCTCTCATACCCAGCATCAGTGCTGAGGCCATGATGGTGGAGTGGATCCGAACAGATCTGACTGAAATTGACAGTTTAGTACATCTCTATGAAGATCGTGCAGACAGATACTATGATCAGATGGTGTCTTACAGAGGAAGAACAGCTCTATTTAAAGCAGAACTGCAGAAAGGAAACACTTCACTGAAACTCTCAGCAGTGCAACCTTCGGATGAGGGAGCTTACAAATGCATAATTCGGTACAGGTCCTCATTTGATGATATACCTCTTTATGTTGAAGTTAAAGGTATGAACCAACACAGTTTTAATCTATAATTACTTGATTATGAATTAATCATTTTGCATCAGATTTATTCATCTTCATAGTACTTAGCCATATAGTGACTACCATTACAATATTTCAACTCCTTACAAGCAAAATTTGTAATTTTTTAAATGTGGGAGGCATTCAGTATGTAAGACATTGTCACAGTGTCATATGGCAGTTAATGGTGACAGCCCAAAGTCATTTCATTATTATGTTATTAACCTTAATATATCGTAGGAGGGCAAATTAAGTAAATGTGATGTTTGGTCTGCTGTAATTTTTTATTTGGTTTGTATTTCAGAACAAAGTTTTCACGCCTGGAAGATTGCTATCGTCTGCTTTTTTGTTTTTGCTGTTATATTAGGTGCCTTATCAGCTTACATCTTGAAAGGTAATTTTTTATATTAATAACTGTTTGTAATAGCATTTAATTTTTAAAAAGAACACAGGATCATCTTGCATACACAGGAAAGATAATCTGTACATGTTTCATGACTTCTGGGCAACAACAGACAAGTCACAAATTGAAGTTAAAACAGTGTCTCAGTAAGGTGTTAGGTCACTACGAGCTCCCAGAACAGCTTCAAAGTGCCTTGATTCTACAAGTCTCTGGACCTGTACTTGAAGGATGGAACACCATTCTTGCAAGATATATTGCCTCAGCTGGCCTTTAAGTGATGGTGGTGAAGCGCTCTTTATAAAACAACAAATGGGTTGAGATCTGGTGACTGAAGGCCATAACATGTGATTAACATCATTTTTAAACAAGTGTTTGGCACTGTTGTCTTAGAAGAGGCCACTCTCATCAACATAGAAATATTTCATTATAGATAAAGGTGATCGGTCAGAATAACTTTGAATTGATTTACAGTGACCATTCCTTGTAAGAGTCAAAGTTGGACAAACCATGCCAACAAAATAATACATTAATTTAAACCAAATCAATAATTCTACTTTACAAGTTGAAGAACAGGGATAAAAATGTTCTTGTATGAAGTAACTAAATAGTGTGCTTTCAATAGCAGAATTTTTCATTAGTTGCTTGGCTAATTACTGCTGCATACTGCTGGAGACTTTTTTGCAGTATGCATACAGTGAAAATGCTTGGTGGGCACCCTTTCAATCAAGTCACTGTTATTATTTATTTGTACAGTTTCAGCACTAATTTGACATATTAGGTCTTAAACCAAGTCTAGTGTAGTCGTCAGAAGGTAACCTTAACTGAGATCTCATCACAAAACTCAACGTCAAAGTGTGCAACACAACACTTTTTGGAATTTTGGAAAGTGCTTTGGTCTGGTCTTACAATCATTTTTCTTCCCTCTGGAAGCTAATGTCCCACAGTCGGTGAAGAAATGAAGGAAGAAAAGAAAGTACAAAACTGCACTTTAAAATCAACCTTGAACTGGCCTTCATTGTCCTGTGACTTGAATATTATTGAAAATCTGATAGATCTTAAACATGATGTGCATGCAAGATGACCTGTACTTATTTCTGTACTACATATTTCTACATATTTAGAGGCTATGATATCAGTCAAAGGAGGTCTTATTAAAGATTTAAGGTCTTAATAAGTTTTATTTACATAACATAATAAATGCTGCAAATAAATGTTAATTGCATATTAAATTTGCAGGAGTATGTCATATTTATCTTTTTTCATGCAGAGGGGAGTTTAATTTATTGTAACGCTGGGTTGACAAAACAGACACTCAGATGTAAAATAAACCATAAGGTTTATTAAAAGGAGAATGATCTAAAAGAGTAAGGTTAATACCAGACCAGACCAAAAACAACAAGAGCCAAACATGGTAAATAGGATCCGGCAAAAAGAGTAAAGACTAAACAGGCCAGAGTCTAAACCAAATAGCAAACAAACCGGTAACCTTAGCCAAAAGGGAAAATCCATGAATCAATAAAAATAGACAAAACAGGGTCATAACAGGAGACAAAAACCACAGACAAAGGCTCGGTGTGCACTGGAAAATATAGGCAATACTTTGCAATGAAAGAGACAGAAAGTCAGGTATATATACAGGGCAAACAGGTGAAAACAATTATATTCTGGTGACTGTGATCTGCTGGTTGATGGGTGATTGGTTGGATAAGTCACATGAAAGACAGGAATCCTGGGAATTGGAGTTTGTAAGGTGGTTACAGTAAGACTGAGAACTGAGAAGCATGACATTTATTTTCCCTTAAAAATCAATAAAATGTGTAATTTGACCAGGAGTTCCCAAATTTTTGTATACATTTTATAGGCCATAGATTTTTTAAACCCATCATCTGATGACCCTACCTAAACTGACCTCATGTAATTTAAAACTAGCAGGGACAGAGTCCCCTGCCCCACTTCCTGACTTTGCACAAAGAAATCGTGATTGGGAGAACCCATAGCTTTCAGCAGCTAGCTAAATAGCTAAAATCCAAATGCAGAAGCTGGTTGTGCCCTGCAGGTTCATACACAAGCTGATTAAATATCTGATAAGGATCAAAATGCACCTATTTTCATTGGCAGAACTGTAACACAACTTAGTATTCTGTTGTCTTTCACCTATGTTCACTCTATTGTCCATTCTGAAAACACTGGAATGTAACTGATCAACAGAAGAACAGGTTACAGATTTGATGACAGGGTAATAACTGGAAATGGCAGAACCAGGATGGGGATCCACAGGAACAGTATTTTACAACACTAGAAATAGAGAGATATTTCTAAAAAAAAATAGGTATTGCTGGCCAATATTAGTGCCATTTATTTAAATTACAAACCATTGACCAAAGTTATTAGAAGTACATAGCCGATAAATATTAACTAAAGAAAAAAAAAAATCTTATCCAGATTCCTCATATGACAAAGACTCGTGTTCAAACTGTCACTAAATGATAGTAGCAAATGAAAGCCTACTACTGTTTCTCTTTGATTTCAGATGCACGCTCAGAAAAGGAACGCTCTCCTGCACAATGCTCAGCTGTAGCCTACATGCGTCTTAAATCACAATATGTGCGTGAAGAGTTGGACCTGAAGAAATACAACACATCAGAGGAGGGTTACAGAAGACTCATCCCAGCTATGACAAACTGCAGAAAGGCTAAGTGAGTGTTTAACATAGACATTATTAAGCCAATATTAGTGCCATTATGACCTATGAGTAACATGACATTTCAGACTAGTCTAAGTGGTCTATAAAAAGAGAAAGGAAAACAATCCAGACTTGTCTGAGCATTGGGTCTTTTTTCTTATTTGGAGGTTTTGTTTCATATTTGTGGATTCTTGATTAATCTACAGGTAGAAAACAAAATATTTGATTACATACAAATATTACATATATTAAAAATGCATTGCCTTGATATTTCAAACCAATATTTGATGACAGTTAGGAAACTAAATTCTATTAGGCTTTTTGAGACAACACCATTCTCATTTTTAATATTGAAAATTTTCTATATTGGGTAGAAATCCAGTTTTATCATAAATGAATAAAAGACTTTGGCTATCTCTATGTCTCTCTTGGCATTGGAAACTGTAAAAAACAAGAGTTTTAACAGCTTTCATGTATTGTTTTTTGTGAGTATTTGTTTATATATAGCTTGTGGAAAATATTTAACAATATTAAGAAAGAAAAATATTGAGAAACTGATCAAACTTGGTTTAGATAGAAGACACATATGTGCTACTTAAGAAAGCAGCAGTAAAAACTGTATGTGTGTTACATTATATTGGTTAACTCCGAAGCTGGTCCAGGATTTCTTGCTCTGTGAATTCAAGAAAATAAAGTCAGAGCAGTAGAAGACTGGAAGAATTACATGGAATTGCGGTTTTAAATGTTATTGCTCAGACAATTACAAATTCAAACACATTTTCTGAAACATATATTTTTACTTACTTTCTTTACTTCTTTTCTATAGATTTGCTGGATGTAACCTCTCTGTACAGTCCATTAAAACTTTGAGTGCAGCTCTACAAACAGAAAACTCCTCTCTGAAAGAATTGGACGTCAGCAACAATAAGCTACAGGATTCAGGTGTAGAGCTGCTCTCTGCTGGACTGAAGAGTTCACACTGTAAACTGGAGATACTCAGGTCAGAAATTTGATGACATTTTGCAATTCTATTTCAGCATTATAGAAGTATGCAACTAATGAATGTGTTGTATGTCTGTATTTTGTTATATACATATCTTCAGACAGGATATTGTCTAATGAAACTGATCCAGGTTTAACATTGTAGTAGCCATGTAGTAATAAAATAGTTACATTTGTACTGCTGATTTTTCAACATTTAGTATAATTTCAGAAGGATATGGATATGCATGTTAAGAAGGAAAAAGATTTCATGCCAGTGTAATGTGCAGGGAGACCAAGACCACACAGACCAAGTTCAAAGAGTATTCATCTACCAGTGGTTGATAAGCACTTGCAGACAGAAAACAAATGCTTGAAAGTATGGTGAGAAGGTAATTGTGGACCAGAAGGGGTCCGTGTACCTTCTGTTCATTTGATTTTCATTTCAAAATCCAGTATTGAAAAACGGCAAATGGGTCAGTTCTCGTTTTTGATTGTTACTGTTAGTCGAAAAATGAGAAATAGCTTCATTTTACAGTTTCACAAACTAATCATAAAATCAGATAACAAATAAACAGCAATGGAATAAAGGGTTGATTTTACCTGATTTAAATTAACCAACAATAAACGTGCAGAGTGCACCCATGATTGAGCTCAGAAATCAGGCTGTCGCGGTTAAGTAATGATGAGGACAGGGACATCGAGCATGAGTGTTGAGGTGGTCAGCCTAGATCTGGCATTGTGGTAGGCTATATAACGTTTTATATGTGTTTGTTGACTTTTTCTATTATAAAAACTGAGCCGACACTCAACACGACTCCCGCCATCTGCTCTGTCCTGTGATCCATGTTGGTTCATAGAGTACACTGCCTCCGGTTTTTGGTGGAAAGGAGCTTTAGAGGCATGTTAGAGCTGCGTTGGGGGTCTCTGTGCTCAGGACTCTGTGTTCAGCGTTTTTTTACGAAAGCCTGAATCAAACGAGGGAATTCAACATTTTTCAGGGGTGATAACCTGGGTGTGTTTAGTTAGTTGGGTTAAGTGTCTACGATGAAGCGGAGGGAGCAGATGTGACCTTCATTGCTAACAGGCTGCCCTGTTTGAGCATTTTCTGCAGGTGTCAATAAAGAGCACTTCTTTAGCAGAATGACAGTCTCTCCTGAGTCTCCTTCACCAAGAGGCTACATTACTGGTCATTATGACTGAAAGACAAGCCTGTAAATTTGGGTCATTAGAATATGACCCTTTGTTCCATTGCTGTTTGTTTGTTTGTTATTTGATTTTATGATTAGTTTGTGAAACTGTAAAACAAAGCTATTTCTTGATTCCACTAACAATAACAGTACCAGAAACGAGAATCGACCCATACTGGTTTTTCAAATAAAAATCAAATGAACAGAAGGTACACAGACGCAGGAACCAATTAGACTTTGGGTTTGTCCAATACAAAAAAGAATAAACAAAAAACAAATAGCCTGCCATCCTCTATGACACAAAAACAGAGGCAAACCCCAAAACAAAATTACAGCCCAATTTTTATTTACACCTGGTGAAGTTGTTACAAAGTGTACCAGAAGCAAATCTATAGGAGAAGCTAAAAGGTGTCAAAGGACACAAAACAAAGTCAGAAGGCAAACAGTCAGAGAGTAATGCCGGCCACACAACACGAGACTCTTAAAGTGATTTCACTGTCGCAGACAAATTTCCAATGTCGGAATAAAATCATTAGAGTTTAGCTAGAGTTACGTCTCGCTCGCGTCATCTTGGTCGTTTAGAATAAGGTGGTCTGGATGGTGGTCTTAATGTCAGTCTTTTGACGCTACGACGAAATCAACAGTGTTTAATATAATCATGCGTTTTAAGTCTTGGCTCATGCAAATAGTGACAAGCCAGGGGCGCAAGAGAGAAAGAGCGAGAGAGAAAGAGAGTGTGTGAGGGAGAAAATGAATGCATAGCCTGAAAAAAAGGCAAATTTGCTCCACTTTAAAACAAAAATCATATTAACTGAGCCTGTAACAGTAATGTAAGGAAATATGCAGCGGACTTTAATTATGGCATTATTGAAGAAGAATGAATGCCTCCTCCCCTTTTTATTCTTTTTTTTTTTGGCTTTACATTACAATGTTTTTTATTTTGTTTGTTTGTTTTTTATGGTTCATAGCACTAATCAACAACATTGAATCACTGCATGTTTTGTTTATGTATAAATCTTTATATTAAATAGTAAAGTAACTGCACATTTTACAGGTTAATTTAAAAAATACTGGGTGAAGATCTGCCAGAATATGCAGTGAACTGGGCTGAGCACCAAATCTTTACACACCCAGCTAAGATTTTTATGTTTGTTATGTATTATATTTTATGTCTGTGACTGAAAACTGCGACCCTGTCTTTAGATGTGAGAGGGTGTCGGACTTTAGTCTTTCAAAAGCCTTTTCAAAGTCTTGTTAAAGTCTTGTAGTGTATGGTTAGCCTAAACAAGATTTAAGAAGCAAATGACTAACTCAAAACAAGTGGGCTGAAGCTATTGGTGTAGAGAATAGGCCTTTTTTGTTCTCGTAAGGCGACATAGTAATAGTCGTGTAGTAGTGGAGCGAGTAATAACGTAATAGTCGTGTAGTAGTGGAGCGAGTGGGGACAAAAGACATAAACTTCATGGAATGACAGCAGCACAAATGTCCTACACTAGGAAGACAGAGACATGAAAAACAGTAACATAAAAAGAAGTGGTTTGTTTCACCACCATGGTTGACAGCAAAAGAGAAAACTGAACTGATTTTTTTTTTTTTTGTAACTCTGTTGGAAACAGTGGAATATCTGGTTTGCTGGTGTACATCTACTACAAACTGATAAACAGCTCCACCTAGTGTCAGGGCATGGGAATGATAGTATAATGTTACTGTATAGTTCCTGAGTGCTACAGGAATATGTCATGTAAAAATAGGTACTGTACTGTCATGTGCGCAGATTTTGTGTCATGAATCTTTTATGACCATAAATACATTAGGCCAGTTTCCCAGACAAGGATTAAACCTAGACTTGTACTGTATTTTCTGTTCTGTGGAAAATCACCATTCAAAATCCTCTCTGGCTTAATCACTGTCTGGGAAACCAGCCTTTTATAAATGTAACAATAAGAAGCATAATTTGCTTGACATTAGAAAACAGAATTCAACTGCAATAAACGATAAACTGTTGGAGGTGCTACATGAACCTCAAGCTGCTTTGTGAAACCACACCTCGGATGGTGTTGCTAGCTGGGAGAAAAACTGTCGAAAACAGTGTGAATAAAAAGAAAACAAAAGAGAGGCATCTGCGCTAGGCTAACAGTTAAACCATCTCAGCGCTTCAGGACTGTTTTGAGCATAAACTGGACCATGTTCAGGGAGGGGGCTACATATAACACTTCAAACGATTTTGAGGAATATACAGCATCCGTGACCGGCTACATTAGTGCATAAATGTGACTTCCTTTAAGATCATCACCACACATGCTAAACAGAAGTTGTGGATGACTGCAGAAGGCTGCACAAGGCCTGTAATGCTGCCTTTGGGTCAGATGACAAGGCAACTGTCAGCACAGCAAATCTGTCCTGAGCTATCAGAGCAAACCTGTCCTGAGCAAAGTGCAACTATGCATAGAAAATCCACGGACACTTTCAGGACACCAAAGACAAACGGCATATGTGACAGGGTATATATGTGGTTACTTTTTGTTACATCACTGATTTAGAAAATACATTACAGCTTGTTGTGGACCTAGGTTGCTTTGGTAATGTTGATGGTTTATAGAGTAAACTCTACCACATACCACTGGAGAAGCATCACGTGGCACATGAACGGGGCCATGTATCGCAAAATCCTGGGTGACAACCTCCTTGCCTCCGCCAGGGCACTGAAAATTGGTTGTGGATGGGTCTTCCAGCACGACAACGACCCAAAACATACAGCCAAGGAAACAAAGGAGTGGCTCCATAAGAAGCATATCAAGGACATGGAATGGCCTAGCCAGTCTCCTGACCTCAATCCCATAGAAAATCTATGGAGAGAGCTGAAGCTTCGCGTTTCCAAAACCTTAAGGATTTGGAGATGATGTGCAGAGAGGAGTGGGCCAAAATTACTCCTGAAGTGCAAACCTTATAAAAAACTACAAGAAACATCTGACTGCTGTGCTTGCCAACAAGGGTTTTGCCACCAAGTATTAAATGATGTTTTACTAGGGGGTCAAATACTTATTTCCTTCAATGAAATTCAAATTAATTTTTATTTCTCATTTCATGTAATTTTCTCAGTTTTTCTTTTGATATTCTGTGTGTCACTGTTAAAATAAAGCTGCCATAAAATTATGAGACGTTTCATTTATTTTCTTGTATTAAAACTTTTAAAGTCAGTGGGGGATCAAATAATTATTTCCTTCACTGTATGTATATATATAGATGTATACATAGAGAGAGACAGAGAGAGAAGAGAGGTCCTTATTTATTTACAGAATTTACTAATCCTTGCTTCTCTCTCTCTACATATTATATGTGTGTGTGTGATATGTATATATATATATATACACATATACACACATATATATATGTGTGTGTATGTGTGTGTGTGTGTGTATACATAAAGAGAGAGACAGAGAGAAAGAGAGGTCCTTATTTATTTATTTGTGGCTTTTGAATACTACTGTATCTGTTTCATAGTAATATAAAAATATTTGAAAGTTGTAGCTGTCATTGGAAAATCATATAATAAAAGATTTGCAATGCTCTCTTGTTGCAGACTAGCTTTGTGTCGTTTTGGGGGAAAGTCTTGTGAAAATCTGGGATCAGTTTTACAAACAGAAACCTCCTCCCTAAAAGAGCTGGACATCAGTAACAATGAGCTTCATGATTCAGGAGTGGAGCTGCTCTCTGCTGGAATGAAGAGTTCACACTGCAAACTGGAGATACTCAGGTCAGCTTTCTCTTCATTTTGGAATTGAATGTTAAAGCTTGATGTTGTTTGCTTATATCAACAACACCATGTGGGTTTGAATGTATTTAAGGAGGATTCCACTGATATTTCTAAATTTCTTCTTTATTCAGTTGATGGGATGTCATTCAGAGTTCAATGTGAAATCCACCATTCTAGCAAAACTTGTTTTTTCTTCATAGCAGTGGTGAGGGTAACAATGTCTAAATGTAGTTTTAATAGTAAAGTAGTAGTTAAAAAGTCTTTAGGGACTTTTTGAGAGACCACATACCACTGGAGAAGCATCACGAGACTGATTGGACAGAGAACAGCTAGCACATATTCCCTCTAGTTAAAGTTAACCTGAAGTTCATTGCAAATTTCTAACCTAGACTGAGTATGGGTTTTAGTTGTTTGATTCTAGATTTAAGTTTGGTGAGGCTGAAACTGGCAACCTATTTGCCAGCTTCTTCAAATTGTGCATTCCATCTTAAATGGTTCATCACTCCCAGGTGACATAATGCAGCTGTGGCACCATTCAAGGCGGAACGGAAATTAAAACTTGGTGGATAAGAAGCAAATTTAAGCTTTATTTAAGTTTGTGCAGTGATGAAAAGATGATGAATGGCAGTACTGGAAGTTGCAAAAACAAAGGCTATGAGTTTTTGGATGCTATGTGTAACTAGACCCACAGGGCCCATGACCACTTGTAGTCCCAGGGCCCCCAGAGGGATAAAGCACCCCTGGACAGCATTGCTTTAAAAACCAGCATGCTTCTGTGATTAATATCATCACACAATTGTCAAAAATGGTTTGTTGCTGCATCCACAAATGCAAGTTAAGACTGCACTATGCACAGTGGAAGTTACAAGTAAACAACATCCACACACGCTGCTGACTTCTCTAGGATAAGTCTCATCTCAAATGGATGTGGTACAACAAGTCAACCTTTCAGATTGTTTATGAAAATAATGGACACTGTGTTCTCTGGGTCAAAGAACTAAAGAACCATCCAGATTGTTACCTGTGTAAAGTTCAAAAGACAGGGTCTGTCACGTTATGGGTTGTTTTACTGTCCATTCCATAGTAAAACATTCAATATCATCAAACAGAATTGACTAATCACCGCTTCTCTCTATATCTATCTATCTATCTATCTATATATATATATATATATATATATATATATATATATATATATATATATATATATATTTATTTATATATATATCTACATATATACACATACAGAAAGAAAGAGAGGTCATTATTTATTTGTGGCTTTTGAATACTACTGTATCTTTGTTTCATACTAATACAAAAATATTTGAAAGTTGTAGCTGTCATTGGAAAATCATATAATAAAAGATTTGCAATGCTCTCTTGTTGCAGACTAGCTTTGTGTCGTTTTGGGGGAAAGTCTTGTGAAAATCTGGGATCAGTTTTACAAACAGAAACCTCCTCCCTAAAAGAGCTGGACATCAGTAACAATGAGCTTCATGATTCAGGAGTGGAGCTGCTGTCTGCTGGACTGAAGAGTTCACACTGTAAACTGGAGATACTCAGGTCAGCTTTCTCTTCATTTTGGAATTGAATATTAAAGCTTGATGTTGTTTGCTTATATCAACAACACCATGTGGGTTTGAATGTATTTAAGGAGGATTCCACTGATATTTCTAAATTTCTTCTTTATTCAGTTGATGGGATGTCATTCAGAGTTCAATGTGAAATCCACCATTCTAGCAAAACTTGTTTTTTCTTCATAGCAGTGGTGAGGGTAACAATGTCTAAATGTAGTTTTAATAGTAAAGTAGTAGTTAAAAAGTCTTTAGGGACTTTTTGAGAGATCAATGAACTGTACCACATACCACTGGAGAAGCATCACATGACTGATTGGACAGAGAACAGCTAGCAAATATGATCTCAAGTTAAAGATAACCTGAACTTCATTGCAAATTTCTAACCTAGACTGAGTATGGGTTTTAGTTGTTTGATTCTAGATTTAAGATTGGTGAGGCTGAAACTTGCATCCTATTTGCCAGCTTCTTCAAATTGTGCATTCCATCTTAAATGGTTCATCACTCCCAGGTGACATAATGCAGCTGTGGCACCATTCAAGGCGGAACGGAAATTTAAAAAAAAAAATAAATAAATAAATAAAAAAAACTTGGTGGATAAGAAGCAAATTTAAGCTTTATTTAAGTTTGTGCAGTGATGAAAAGATGATGAATGGCAGTACTGGAAGTTGCAAAAACAAAGGCTATGAGTTTTTGGATGCTATGTGTAACTAGACCCACAGGGCCCATGACCACTTGTAGTCCCAGGGCCCCCAGAGGGATAAAGCACCCCTGGACAGCATTGCTTTAAAAACCAGCATGCTTCTGTGATTAATATCATCACACAATTGTCAAAAATGGTTTGTTGCTGCATCCACAAATGCAAGTTAAGACTGCACTATGCACAGTGGAAGTTACAAGTAAACAACATCCACACACGCTGCTGACTTCTCTAGGATAAGTCTCATCTCAAATGGATGTGGTACAACAAGTCAACCTTTCAGATTGTTTATGAAAATAATGGACACTGTGTTCTCTGGGTCAAAGAACTAAAGAACCATCCAGATTGTTACCTGTGTAAAGTTCAAAAGACAGGGTCTGTCACGTTATGGGTTGTTTTACTGTCCATTCCATAGTAAAACATTCAATATCATCAAACAGAATTAACTAATCACCGCTTCTCTCTATATCTATCTATATATATCTATCTATCTATATATATATATATATATATATATATATATATATATATATATATATATATATATATATATGTATCTACATGTATATACACATACAGAAAGAAAGAGAGGTCATTATTTATTTGTGGCTTTTGAATACTACTGTATCTTTGTTTCATACTAATACAAAAATATTTGTAGTTGTAGCTGTCATTGGAAAATCATATAATAAAAGATTTGCAATGCTCTCTTGTTGCAGACTAGCTTTGTGTCGTTTTGGGGGAAAGTCTTGTGAAAATCTGGGATCAGTTTTACAAACAGAAACCTCCTCCCTAAAAGAGCTGGACATCAGTAACAATGAGCTTCATGATTCAGGAGTGGAGCTGCTCTCTGCTGGACTGAAGAGTTCGCACTGTAAACTGGAGACACTCAGGTCAGCTTTCTCTTCATTTTGGAATGGAATGTTAAAGCTTGATATTGTTTGCTTATATCAACAACACCACGTGGGTTTGAATGTATTTAAGGGGGATTCCACTGATATTTCTAAATTTCTTCTTTATTCAGTTGATGGGAGGTCATTCAGAGTTCAATGTGAAATCCACCATTCTAGCAAAACTTGTTTTTTCTTATAGCAGTCATGAGGGTAACAATGTCTAAATGTAGTTTTAATAGTAAAGTAGTAGTTAATCTTAAAAATCTTTAGGGACTTTTTGAGAGATCAATCAATTAACTTTTTTTTGTTTTAACATTTGTTTTAACTGGTAAAAAAGTTCCCATCTCACTGGCCTTCGACAGAGCTGCTGCCTCTCAATTTCCATCTACAGGCTAAGAAATTTAGGGATATAAAATTGCGTTATGATCAACACTATGGCCTTTTCATTGACATTAACTTATTATAAACAACAATATATAGCAAATTCGGGAGTCATTTATTCCAAATACCGAAGAGAAATACAAAGCAAAGAATATAAAGTTATCTTATTTCTATCTCTCTTGCTTTTTCACACTCTAAAATACTTGGTTTGTCAACTAGCTAATGTTAGTGTTAACCTAACCCTTTTTTCTTTTCATCATGTAAGCTCTAAATTAGCTAGGGTTAGCTAACAAGTAACTGAGCAAAAACCCAACAGCCAGCTATACTGACCATAATTTACCACACATCCATATTGTGGGTGGATAGATTTACTCTTGCACTGCTGACTGTTTCACTCTGTATATTATAGATTTTGAATAAGTTCCAATGTTTATTTTAGTGATGTTTTAGTCAAAAAGCTGGCTTCAGCTTCAGCAGTTGCAGATTACAGTGCAAAACCAAACCAGAGACCCTCCAACAGGTCTGATATGATTGGCTTAAAATATAGGAGGTCTGATGTGATTGGACAAGCCAGGGTTTCCACGTTTTAAATTATGTTAGTCAGTCGCTGGTAGCACAGCAGAGGCAGTGCTGCAAAAGAGCAGCAGCAGCGCCTCCCCCAGGTCATGCCTTGCTCTCACAGGATATTGCAAATGAGAATGAACTGTAGATGATTTGAAATAATAACGTACATTTGTTTGGAAAGGGGGCGCTAAATTACCTAGTAGTGCCCATAGTGGGGCCTAATAAGATTTGACATTAAAGATATAATTACTTTAAAAAAATAGCATACAATTAAAAAGTCAAGCATAACCCAGTTTAATTTAGAAGGAGTAAGTATGTGTTAATAACTTCTCTACAAATAAACCTTTGTCCAAAATGTATAATTTAGCATCCAAATCAGACTCAACAGTATACATACAATCTAGGAAATGGGAAGAAGATCAGTTACTCCCACAGCTAATTCATGTTAACAGATTCTTAAAAACATACTTGATATGTCTAATAGCACTAGCCTGTATCTCATACATTACAAAATATTTTCACAGTATGCACTGCACTGGAAAAAAAATGGGATTCATAGGATCTGAATTCTTCTCTCATTGCTCATTAAACACTCCTGACAGTTAAATCATGCCATATGGTGCTGCACACCAGTCAAACACTTTTGCCAACAAATGTTTGATTAATTAATGACACCATTGAATCAGCCTATCTTACTATTCCTATCACTCTATTAGGAGACATACCAACAGAAATACCATCAAGGAAACAGCAGAATAATTGTTATGGAGTTAACAATCACCAAAACAACAATTCTGATGAACTGGCAATCAAGGAGAACTAACATCAATCACAGGAAACCTACTCACTGATTATCTATCACTGAATCCTCTTTCAGCCTCCATCACTAGCACATCCACTAAATTTGACTTGACATGGTCAACAGTCATTAATTTCTTACCTACAATAGTAACCGCCAAACCCAATGAATTTAACTTAACCCATGCGGAAACAATAGGCTGAACAGCAAAAATTGTGAAAAGCAGAAACAGCTAAAGATCACATGGATAACAGAGCTGTGAGAGACACTAACACACTCCCTGAAATTAATGTGTGCATTTTTATTAAGCGGACGTAAATATTAAAAAAAATATTCTTAGTGATCTTGTTTAAGCTGTAACAGGAATAAAGCCTCAATTAAATGTATATAAAATGAGCATATTAAAATGACTCTACTTTGCAATTACAGTGGCATGCAAAACAGGGATCCCTCATCAAAATATCTGTTACTGTGAAAAGCTTAACTAATCGAGTATTAGATGACCCAATTTCCAAAAAGCATGGAGTTAAAATAGTAATGTCATCTTTAAGAAAGATTACTTTTTATTTTCATCTTTTATGATTTTATTTATTTAAACGTCTACTAAGATGTGTATTCTCTCTCTCAGTCTGTTTCTCTCTTTTTCTGCACTCTTCAGATTATCAGGATGTATGGTCAGAGAGGAAGGCTGTTCTTCTCTGGCTTCAGCTCTGAGTTCAAACCCCTCATACCTGAAAGAACTAGATTTGAGCTATAATCTCCCAGGAAAGTCAGGAGTGAAACTGCTCTCTGCTAGACAGCAGGATCCACACTGCTCACTCAAAACACTCAGGTATGAACAGCTGTGTTCACAGGTGTGTGTGTGTTTATGTGAGTGTGTGTGTGTGTGTGTGTGTATGTGTGAGTGTGAGAGAGAGAGAGTGTGAGTGTGTTTGTGAGAGACAAAGAAAGAGTGAGACAAATGTGGCAAAGAAAGAAACAAAGACAAATATATACACACACATACAGAGAGTGAGAGAAATAGTTTTGCACTGAAAGTCTCTCACTGATCTGTGTTTGTCTTCTTTAGAGTGGAACATCAGGGTGAGATGAGAATCAGACCAAAGAAATGTAAGTACAAACACACAACACTAACAATATATGGGGCCATTTTGGGTAAAATACACTAAAACACTTGCACACACCGCTGAAATACTTGGACATACACACATGCCTGGAAGTCATCACACAGTAACAGGAAGATATAGTTTTACAAATCAAGACCATGCTCAGCAGCACAAAGAAAAGGGTTTCTGGAAAAAAATAGGGTAATTCATCCTGTATGAAAATTCATCAGAACACTGAGCCACCAGGATTTGTTGGGAATATTCTCACAGTTCTAACAACAAATCCTGGTGGCCCATGGTTCTGATGCTGTCTTTGGCCTGCAAACTGTTGTAAAAGGAGAATTAGATGCTGATATAATGACTCCAGTGGAGTTGTACATTCTCTTACTGCAGGCTCTTCTCCACCCTGAACTACAGTTATGATGGAATGAATGGCTTTGTGTGGTCTTCCAGTTCAGTAAGAGTCTGTCTAGAAGGGCATCTTGTACGGTTCTACACAGTGTAGGATGCAGTAGAAAAAAATTAAAACATCCTCTCTATTGCCAACAATACTGAAAAGCTGATTACAGTTTTTTACAATTGCTTACACACTGAAATTAGAAATAACACACAGTTAGTGAAACTCACCTCAACTATAAGTTCATTGAGTGTAAAGAGGAATAAAAATTTTCATTAACATGCAGTACTGGTCTTGTGTGTTGGGTTTGGTTGTTCATGTACTTTAACAGTATCTCTGAATGAAATCAAACCCAGACAATACACGGTGATTCAAAAAGATTAATCCGATTACAAAGCACCATATTTTTAAAACCTTGAGGCACCTAGGAACCAATCACAATCCAATTGAAAGAGGGTGTTATAGAGTTTCTGACTGTCAGTGTAAGGTATGGCTCCCTTCAGTCTGAGAGGAGATGAGACCCCTGAGCAGAAAGCGTTCTGCGTTCTCCACTTCAATGAGAGTGAAACTGTCATAACTGTGCAGTGTGATTTTCATGGGCAGTGAATCTCCAACAGCTCAGAGCATTCGTCCTTGGTTCCACAACACTGGATGATCTCCAAAATCGCACTGAAAGAGCTGTGAGTGCAGCGACACCCGACATGCTCAATTGAGTATGGGATGAATTTGACTATGGCGTTGATGTTGTCCGTACAGCTGGAGGAGGTTCATAATGAGCACTTGTACAATTACATAATAAACTTTATGCTCATTTAAACCATTTACAGTTTACTGCATTGTTCTGTAATGATTTACAAGAGAAATAAATCATTTTGAAACCGGATTAATCTTTTTGAATCACCCTGTATTATTAGAAAAGCAGAAATTTTAAAGGTGTTTTAGATTGAGCACAGCACTGTGTAACCAGTTCAAACAGAATCAGATCGTATGAATTCTGTGTACACTGTACGATGGCTAAATAGGGTTTATATAAATTATTGTACAGTTCTGAATGACGTGTTTCATTTTGCAGAAGATCTGAGGTGTGTGAACTGTGTGTAGTGTTTGGACAAAATGAGCCCTGTTTTCATAATTTAGCTTAATTCTAAAAATCTATAAGATGAAAAGGGTAATTTAACTGATAAAACAGCTTGTTTGTTCATCCTTAAAAGAGGCTGAACCGAGTTTTTTCCAGAAACTCTTTATCGTTGTGCTGCTGACCGTGTGCTTATTTTATAAAATCTGCCTTCCTGTTACAGTGAACTGACTTCCAGGTGCACTGAAAACTCTCATGCACACACCAGTGACTGCAGTCTGTGTACAATCATTCACACATACACATGTACAAATGTTTCATAGCTGTGTGCAGGTAGTGTGTGTGTATGTACGAGTGTTTCAGTGGTGTGTGCAAGTGTATCACAAGTGTGTGCATTTCAGTAGTGTGTGTGTGGGTGTTTCAGTGGCATGTGTGTCTGTTTCAGTGGTGTGTATGTGTGTTTCAGTGGTGTGGGTGTAGTTTTACAGTCTGACGGTAATAATTGTGGAGCGATTTTAATCCAGTATGAATCTGCAGTGTGTGTAGTTTTATCAGTCTGACAGTAATAATTGTGGAGTGATTGTAATCCAGTATGAATCTGCAGTGTGTGTAGTTTTATCAGTCTGACAGTAATAATTGTGAAATGATTTTAATCCGGTATGAATCTGCAGTGTGTGAAGTTTTACAGTCTGACGGTAATAATTGTGGAGTGATTTTAATCCGGTATGAATCTGCAGTGTGTGGAGTTTTACAGTCTGACGGTAATAATTGTGGAGTGATTTTAATCCAGTATGAATCTGCAGTGTGTGGAGTTTTACAGTCTGACGGTAATAATTGTGGAGTGATTTTAATCCAGTATGAATCTGCAGTGTGTGTAGTTTTTACAGTCTGACGGTAATAATTGTGGAGTGATTTTAATCCAGTATGAATCTGCAGTTTGTGTAGTTATAGAGCTTTACAGTAACAATTAAGGAATGACTGAATTCCCTGTAGCTGAACCCTGAGCTCCCTCAGTAACACTATTCCTGTTCCAAAATGTAGGACACAACTTCCCTACAACTGTTTCTAAAGGTACAATAGTTAAAGTCATATACAAACTCTAAATCAGGGTGTCTTTACATTGGCTGTATATTCTTTACTGGGGCAAAGTTAGAAATGCTTCTCAACAAGTACTAACATTATTAATGTCAGAAAGATTTGTCAAGGTCTTAATGAAGACGATTTGCTGTTTTATTTAAAAAGTTTGAAAACCTCTAGACCATCAGTTCAGTCGTCAATTACTGACTGAACGCAAAGCTCATATCAAACCTTTCTTGCATTTCCTTGCCCTTTTAGTATATAATGGAATGGATCACTGAATTCTAATAAAAATAATGTTACTGAAAAAAGTAGAGCTTATTTTAAAATAAAAAAATAAGAAAATGAATGAACAACTTACCACTTCTGTGGCTTTCAGTGCCTGTTTCTTCCCTGCTTGGCCACAGCTGAACGCTGGACTTCCATCTAATGTAGTTGCCACAGTAGAAGTGATTTCATTCATTACCTGTGGATACATTTATATTTTTTATAAAAATAAAACTGAGATTTTACACATTACAGATGAAATAATCAATCCTAAGAATTATCAAAATCCTCAGTGTAAAATAATTTACATAATGTGCTAGAATATTAATATCAACCAGTCAAAAGTATGAAATTGTAGCTCTTAAATATACATTTCTAAAAAACACTCAATTGTTTAAGACATTTATGCACATTTTGTGTGGCCAAACATTTCCATTCAACCTAATCATATCATATACATATTACTTAATTTGTAACACTGAAGATTACAT